ATATGGACTACTAATTACTGTTGGATTGACTAGGATATATACGTGTATCGAATCTTTGCTTGGACTGTAGTAGAGTAGAACTTGTTTGTGAGCCTGGCCCACCATTATTTTTCAGGTGTTCGTCAGGACTAGAGGTTGTTCGTGCTTAGCGGGGATCAATCTACTTCATTCTTCCGATTCTACATAGGAGATTCTTTTATGCTTCGTTCTTCAGTTGTAGACAATTATTGCTGTCACTTGTTCAGATTGGTTTTTAGGGATCCACACAGTTTGGATTCCCAAGTTGTATTAATGGAGGATTTATTGTATCAAAATGATTTTATTATTAATGAAAATTTATTAAGAGGTTTTATTATAGGATTTTTTTTTTTAGTTTTCTTTCAGCAAATTATTTATTCACATTTATTATTTTGTACTCTGTGTTCATTTATTGCCGATTTTGTTTTTGATATTCTCGGGTATTCGGGCGTGGGCCTAACCAACTAGCATTCTAAAATTCGGAGGTATCACAATCATCCACCACCGTCACTGCCACCATTTATTTCAGAGCACTCCAGGTTCAAGTGTCCTTAGGATTGTCTTTCGTTATGTGACTTCCGTGTTACGTCTCTTAAAACTTAGAGCCCGTATTAGGATTCGTTGTACTCTATTTACGGTTCGTCTGGAGAAGCTAATGTCAAATACATTTTGTAGTTACAAAATGGTTGACACTAAAAAAAGGACGGGGTCTAAGTCGAAAGCGATAAAGACCCAAAAGAAGTAAAGGAGTATGTTATCGATTTCTTTGCCAGAAGGCAAAATTTGAGATCAAAGGTTAAGTTGCGGTTAACGCTACTCTAAAAGTATAAGCCAAGGAAGGATTTAGGTGTACGTGATAGGTCACCACTTATAGGGGTTAACACGACTTCAGTTGATCTCAAAAAGGAAACAAGAGATGAGTAGGAGCCCGAAGAGGATCCTAATGGAGGAGATTTCTGCGTATCCAAGATAAAGGGTACTCAATCTTGAAGATGGATCATCGCGCAAGGGTAATCTTATTTGCTGGTAGTATAGCGAATGATATTAGTAGAATTGTGGTTGATCAATTTACAAATAGTAAAACTTTCTTATAATCTCTAAAAGAGATATATAAAAAGTACTCTCAAGAGTTGGGAATCTGATGGAGTTCTTATTAGAACAAAACGTATGATTTTGTATCACATTCAAGAGAGTATGTGGGTTATGTTGTGACATTCTAATTCGTTTTATAAAGCCAAGTTAGACAGTTTATATTCCGCGTATAAGGAGGATAAAGGTTAAGCCCTTAGAATTTACTTAGGCAAACAAATGTTGCTTTTAAATTATGTTATAAATGATATGTTTTGAGGTTGGATGATTACCTACGAAACTATGAAAGGAAATTGTGAAACAATCTGGTAAGGTTAATTTCAAATGAGACTTTCTTTTTTAGAAAGAACGATATCCTAAATAGGAGTATATTTTGTGCTATTGTGTTAGTCATACGTGTTTTATTTTCATTTGTTATTCTGGGTAATGGTATGTGGGTTAGTTGGAGACACAAGTATATGATAAACCAACTATTGTTTTTAATACCACACAATCCAACAATTGATATATGTAACGATTAAGGAAATACATCAAACAATCAAGAAAAAACTATGATAATATAATATCAAGTTATCATAAAATATGAATGACTTATTATTTATTTAAGCTTCCTATATCATATGTCCTACACAAACTGAATCTTATACATGATGATATTTTATTATACCGTCAAATAAGTATTCTTCATATCCAATTCATCCTACACATTTCATCTCAAGTGCTAAAACATCTTAAAAGATTAAATCCATTCATTTGTTTAAACATTCAAATAGCAAGCATCATTATGATTGAGTCTATTTAAATTTATTTAAACTCAAACCTAGTCCCTATTTAATGTTCAGGAATCCTAGGCATGTTTCTACGTTCCATTAATCCACAGATATGAAAAATGCATAATTTAAACATGTAAAAATTCACACCAGAAATCAAATTAAAATAATGCATTTATTAATTCATAACACAAGAACAGATATGAACCAATTTCATAAAACCTATGTTTTAATCTAATTAAACATGTATAATTATTTAATTTTATGTGTTTAATAAATCCTAGAATTTCCTAGACATGTACAGAAATATGAATCAAAGGGAAAGAGATAGAAAAATAACTTGCCTTAAACTTTCGGATCGAAAGTTAAACTTTTTCTTACTTGATTTTCTCTCTACAGGTTTTTCACCTCCTTCATTCATTTTCCTCATTCCTTCTCTAACTCTCTCTCTCTAGAATATATCACATGAATATTTCTAACCTCTTTTACAACCTATAGCTATATATTTATACGCTAAATAAAATAACTCTAACCCTTTTCCCAATCCATGTCAAATTAAAAAAAAAAAAAAATACCAAAAAGGTAAGTAAAATATGTTAAGTATATAATTTATGTATATCTTTATTAAATAAATAAATTATACACATCCCATTATTTATTAATGGATTATCCAATAATACTTAAGTTACCATAATATTATAAAGTAACTTAAAATATAACACGTATCATTATTTAAATATAAAACATATACATTATATTAAATATTCCTACCCAAGTTACCATAAAAGTAATTAATAAATTACCCATTATTTATTAATGCATTATCCAATAATACTTAAGCTACCATAATATTATAAAGTAACTTAAAACATAACACTTATCAAATCTATGTATATTTTTATTATTTAAATATAAAACATAAGATTAAATATTACTACCTAAGTTACCATAAAGGTAATTAATAAATTACCTATTATTTACTAATGGATTATCCAATAATACTTAAGTTACCATAATATTATAAATTAACTTAAAGTATAACACGTATCAAATCTATGTATATTTTTATTATTTAAATATAAAACATATACATCAAATTAAATATTACTACCCAAGTTACCATAAAAGTAATTAATAAATTACCCATTATTTATTAATGCATTATCCAATAATATTTAAGTTACTATAGTATTATAAAGTAACTTAAAACATATATCAAATCTATGTATATTTTTATTATTTAAATACAAAACATATACATCAGATTAAATATCATTACCCAAGTTACCATAAAAGTAATTAATAAATTACCCATTATTTATTAATGGATTATCCAATAATGTATATGTTACCATAATATTATAAAGTAACTTAAAACATAACACGTATCAAATCTATATATATTTTTATTATTTAAATATAAAACATATATATCAGATTAAATATTACTACCCAAGTTATCATAAAAGTAATTAATAAATTACTTTCTCTTTTATATATGTATATAATATATCTATATATATATATATACACACAACTATCCATGAGTAATAATCCGTACCCATCCAATCTCCTATCCAAGTAATCCATGGGACCTAATTGGTTTGCCCATTACTACTAACCATAACCATAAAAGAAAAATAAAAGAAAATATTAAAATAAAAGAAAATATTTAATTTATAATTAATCAAAACACCATTTAAGCACATAATCTAATTAAACAATTAATGCATAGATAAATACAAATAACACATAGACACATAATCAAATACTCAAGTAACACTTAATTCAATTAAACCCATAAGCAATTAGTCAAATAATCAATTAAATAATTAAAACAAATAATTAAAACAAACAAATAAATACCGAGATTATCCTTTTAAAATTAGAGGTATTACAATGATGGTGGAGGTGGATAGCAGTAGTGGTGTTTGAAGACGATGATGGTGGTAATGGTGGAAGACGGCAATGTTGGAAGGTGGCCGCGATGGTGGTGGTGGTGAAATGTGGCAATGGTGTTGGTGGAAGGCGATAGTGTGGTGGTGGTGGTGGTGGTAGAAGGAGATAGTGATGTAAGTGGCATTAGCCAATGGAGGTGGCGGTGGTGGAAGACAGTGGAGGTGGCGGTGGTGGAAGGTGGTAACGATGATAGTGGTGGTGGTGGAGGGCGGTGGCGTCGTGATGGAGGAAGGCGATGGCGGCGGCGATGGTGGAAGGCGGTGAGGGGCGGTGGCGGTGGTGATGGAAGGTGGTGGAAAGTGATGGCGACGACGATGGTGGAAGGCGGTGGTGGTGGTGGAAGGCAGGGGAAGACTGTGGTGGTGGTGGTAAAAACAGTGGCAGTGGCGGCGGTGGTGGTGAAAGGAGATGGTGGCGGAGGCGGTGGAAGGTAATAATGGTGGTGGTGGAAGGAGGTGGTGATGGCAGCAGGGGTGGTAGTGAAAGGTAATGGCGGTAGAGGTGGTGAAAGGCGGCGGTGGTGGTTACGGCAAAAGAAGACGGTGTCGGTGGTGAAAGGCGGTGATGGTGATTGTAGCAAAGGAAGACGGTGTCGGTGGTTAGAGGCGATGGCGGCGGCGGTGGAAGAAGAAGGCGGCGGCGGCAATAGTGAAAGGCGGAGGTGGTTGTGTGGAACGTAGTGGTAGTTTTTGGACTTGGACATGAGGGTTTTTTGGGAAGTTAATTTTTTTGAGAAGTTAAAAAAATTACATAAAATGGAATGATCATTTCATAGGCTTTAGTTGTGAAATGAATTTTTATTCTATAGGTTTAGTTGTGAAATAAATTTTTATTCTAATGAAATGACTAAATAAATAAATGGTTGGAATGATTATTTTATTTCTGCACACCAAATACAGTATAAGTATACTTCTGATAAAAGGGTGTTAATAGAGTCCGCACTAATATCATAGTTAACTTCCGCCCTGCACAAAAATTTAAGAAATATCAATTTTATTTGTTTTATTTTTTATTCGTTTTTTTTACCTTGACTGAAAGTAAGTACAAAACGAAGAAAAAACCCAACTTTTCTCCACATCATCCTCATTTCTGTGAAAACCTCAACGCTTAGGCAAGAGAACAGACGAGAGAGAAAGAAAGAGTAAGAAGCCAATTGAAGCAGCAATGTCGGACATCCCGGAGGATTTGATCGCCGACGTTCTCTCTCGGCTTCCAGTGGAGTGTCTGCTACGGTTCAGGTGCGTTTCTAAATAATGGTGTGCCCTAATCGACTCCCCTAAATTCATAAATTTGCAACTCAATCAATCACTCAGTACCACCATTAACCTAACTGTGATTTTTGAAATCCTAAGTGCAATCTTTTCCGTAGCGATAGACTCTCTTGTTGATATCCTGAAACATGATGACGATATTCTTCCACCAGCATTCCACTTGCATGATCTGAAATTAAAGTCCTATGGTATAATAGGTTCTTGCAATGGCTTGATGTGTTTGTATTCTCTTAGGTCTGGAACCCCCATTTTGTTAAACCCTTCCACCAAGAAATACCAACTTTTACCTCCAGTGCCAAAACCTTCTTTCAGATACAGTCGTTTCCATGAATTTTATGGATTTGGGTATGATCCTGTGAATGACGATTACAAGATTGTAAGGATTGCTAGATATTTGGATGATCAACATTTCCCCTTCCACAATGAAGTAATAGTTTATAGTTTGAGATCGAATATTTGGAGGGTGATTAGTTGCAATTTCCCTCCTATCACTGTTACACAGAAACCCACATTTCTCTCTTATGGCGTGCTTTTTAATGGTGCCTTGCATTGGGTAGCTACTCGCCAGCCCGGATCACGTATGGATGGATTTATTATTGTTGCTTTTGATCTCGTGGATGAGAACTATCGGGAGGTGCAACTCCCAAACACCTCGGGTAATCATGGCATGACTTTGGGGGTTTCGGGTGGATGCTTGTTCTTCAGTTGTATTGATGGTGATGATGATGATATGGTTGAATTATGGGTCATGAAGGATTACATGGTCCACGAGTCGTGGACCAAGATTTCTATAGCTTTCTTGTCCCGAGTATATATGAAAAAAATTTGGGAAGTGAGAATTTTAGATTATTCAAATAGCAGCAGTGAAGTACTCTTAACACAAATTAATATGACACTTTGTTGGTTAGACCTGAAAGAGCAAAAAGTTGTAGATGTTGGCATTGGTTCATCTGCAGCAGAGATATGCATCCCGAGCCTTGTTAAGCTTTCTTCGGATCTTGGAACCAATGTCTATAAATGTTGCTGTGGTTTATGAAGCCTTTGTAGTACGTCTTGAACACATTACTTGTTTTATATAGTAGTAGTGGGAGATTTACAGGTGTATATGTTTGTTTTCTCTCTTCCATTTTATTTGGTCTTTTCTGTGGATTTTGTGTGTTCCTGCTTTCTTAGTGAGAAAAGCAGTAAGATTGTATGATAATTATAATTTTTATATGTGTGAAGGTGTGTACTTTAAATAGTTTTCATTGTCTGCTTGCTAAAATCATTCTGCAGTATGTGTTATTTTTTGATCAATTTGAATTTGAGTGATGCATAGATTTCGAATCGGCTCGGCTAATCTTATGATACTTCCTGTGCGAGTGCGTTTCTTCTCAATGAAAAAAATTGATTCTCATTTACGATAGTGCAATATAAAATCCTTTCGAAACGAGTCTGCTTAGAGAAATTTGTAATTCAAATGTGACAAGGGTTATTTATTTGTTTGTTTCTTTGAATTTTATTTTGTCAAAGTGGTCCAGTCGTGTCAGTTTTCTTCTTCTTCTTATTTTGAGAATGGATCTACATAGTTTTTTTTTTTCCCCTATTTTTCAGCTTCAAATTCAAACAGTTAAAACTCAATTTGCTACCTATATTTGGGTTCTATGGGTTTGAATTCCCAAATATGAGTCTGGACCTAAGTCACACAAAGCGGGAGCGAATGCGAGAGCACGAAAACGTCAAAGTCTAAATTTTTTTAGAGCTGGAGCGTCTTGACAACGTCGGTATATTTTGTTTAAATAAAATTATATTACATATATATTTTTATTTATTTAAATCCATATGCAAATATATTTATGATTATTTATTCCATTAATGATATATGTAATAAATTAACTAACTTTTTTCACTAATAGATGTGTAATTTATTTGTAATATTCTCTAATTAGAAAGTTTTTTAGTAGTGTATTTTCAAACATGTATAATTAATATATCTATATATATATGTGTGTGTGTGTGAGAGTGGTAGTATAGCAACGCCATATATCTAGGGCAGATTGAAATTTAAGTAATTAATGAATATATTAAGTAATAGTATAAGTAATAAATGCATATATGATAATATAGGTATTCCATATCACTTAACAAATTTAGCTATATAAAGTAAATTCGTATAGAAATCGTGAATCAGGAAAACAAATTCGCGAATTGCAAAAATTGAATTTGCGAATTTTGTGCGAATTCGCTCCCAAATCGCAAATTCGCGTGCGGAGCTTGAGAGTGAGGTCTCTTTGGACGAATTGTGTGACTAAGGTCTGGACTCAATGGTTATTTTATTATTATTATTTTTCCCTTCTACCAATCAAATTTTTTTTTTTTTTTTTCCTTCCTAAATCACCAAATCATGATTGATTAGCATAAGCATGTTTTCCGTATAATATCTAATAACCTCTCCCAAACACACTTGACCTTGCTTAATTTATTTTTATTTTTTATTTTTGCGTAAATATATATCACTGTTATCTATCATTTGAATTATTGAAAAGTCTTTGAAAACGTAAGATGACTCTTGTATTACATTCGAGAACACCAAATCGATGTATTGAATTTAAAATTGAAGAAAATTTAAATTTCTTATAATCATCACCGTGTTTAGGAGATTGAACCTTAGTTATTAGCTCTGACTTCCACAAATTGCTTCCTCAATCAATGTCAAAAATGACATCATCTTCGACTAAAACGAGTGAAATTAGGTTAATTGGCTAGCAATAGTCCCATAAGGACAAGGTGCATAACCGTTCTTAGCGGATCGAAATCCTCTCCAACGCTATAGGGTTTATGTCCTAGCCGGTGAGTATATTAGAAAAGTAAAAATACATAAGGTAAAAAATTTAAAAAGAAAAACTTTTGTATATTCACACACACATACATACATACGGGACCAAATCAAAACTAAACCAACTTCTTGCTCATTTTTTCTCTCTCTGCACAAACATTTCTCTAACCTACAACTTCTTGTATTTCACAATATTTCCCTAACCTACACCCCAACTTCACCTTACCAATATCCTACTTATTGTACAAATGCATAAATAAACATATCTTGGTACAAATTATATATCATAACATTTTCCTTCCCTGCATCCCAACTTTCCCCTTATCAATATCCCAACTTTCACCTTACCAACATCACACTATTCATCTCTTTATCTTGTTTGAGATGTACGTTAAAAAAATGTTGGGATGCTAGTAAAGAGAAAGTTGGGATGTACGTTAGGAAAATGTTGTGATACAAGACCAAAATAAACATATCTTGGTACAAATTGTATATCACAACATTTTTCTAACTTACATCCTAACTTTCTCCTTACCAATATCACATTATTCATCTCTTTATCTTATTTGGGATGTACGTTAGAAAAATGTTGGGATGCTAGTACGGAGAAAGTTGAGATGTACATTAAGAAAATGTTGTGATGTAAGACCGATGTCCCAACATTTTCCTAACATGTATCTGAAGATGCAAGAAATTCCTCTCTCTATTTTGACAGAGTTTCCTTATACTTCAAGAATTATCTCCCATTCTCCCCTCTATTTTCAGCCTATTTATAGACTGTTACATGCCTTCTAGAAGCTTCCTACCTAACTCATAGTGTTGGCCCCCTCTGGGCTTCTCTAGTTATGGGTTTAATTGCATTTTGTGGATCCTCGGCTGGTTCTTTAGCTTTGGGCTGTCTTCTCAAGGCTTGGTTCGGACCACGATCAATTACCCCGCCCGTTGTTCTTCTCATAGGTCGGATCCAACCCACGCCGTATTTGGCGTCCTCAACTGCCCCCATAATGACTCCCTAATTAATTAGGGAGTGATTATGGATGGTCAGTAATCATGACTTGGCTGCTCAAGACGATCGTGTAGGGGAGTGAGCGGTCGGCTCAAGAATCGATGTTTTGAAATTCGAAAACTCTTCAGTTTCCTGACGTTTCGGCTTTTGGGTCCACTTTCTCTTTATAAGCCAAGGAACCGTACTCATATATCTTTTTATCATCTCTATCACACATCATTGTCAATCAACTTTACTGTTTGTCCCTTTCAAGTAAATCTACTCCTCATCGGCGAATTATTGCACAAGATTTTCCTTTTTCAGTTGCCCTGCATCGTTTTTGCGATCTTCAATTTTATCGAGGTTAGTTTCGCTTTCCTTCATTTTCTTCTCCTTTTTTTTTTAAAAAAAAAAAACTATACACACTCCCTTGTGATCTCTACTCGCTTTCGCCATGCCCATCGATTTAGATATTCTTCGCATAAAACTTTAACTTCCCAGTGACATACACATTAGAGAATACCCTAGAAGTGTGGATATTAGGACTGGCGCCGGCCTTCTTCCCTGCAAGATCTTGTTTTCCCTCTTTTATCTAAATGTTATTAGATTTCCTCTGCATCCCTTCTTCAGTTATGTCTTTAATAGGTTGGGGTTTTCCCCTCTTCAGGTGAACCCCAATTTTCTTAGGGTTTTGTCCGTTCTACTGCTTTTGAACCATAACAGAGGTCTGGATCTGGATATCATAGATTTTCTCCTCTGTTACAAGGTCAGTAAGATCAGGCTGAACGACATGTATTATCATTTTTACCCTATCGAGAAGAGGTTAATTTGTACGGACAAACTTTACTCGGAGAAAGGTTGGAAGAGCAGAATAGTTGGGGTTAGAGGGGCCTGGTTTGCTCCAGCTGCTGAGGATTATCCCATCCCGAGTGCCTTTGGTGACTGCTCGGTCTTTTCATATAAAAAGTACAAGAATCACAAGAGTGATTGCCTTTGTGAAGTGTGCACCCCTCGCTTCTGCACTTTTTTTTTTTTGCAATTTTTAGGTATTCCTCATAACGAGTTAAGCTACAGTATTTGCAGGGATAAGATCAATCACCTGAAGGAATACGTTCTGAACAACGTTCCTTCCTGTTCCAATCTACTTGTGTCTGAGAACCTTGCTGACATCTCACTCCTCGGCAGCACCATGAGTTAACTTCGGATTCCTTCCTTCAGCAGGTAGAAGGACCCTCCCAGGGTCATTGCTGCTTCTTCTCCAGCTTCGGCATCCTCTTCTGCCCCTACCTCCAGCACCACTTTGAACGTAGTGGCTGCTAACCCAATCATCACTGCCCCTCTTGTCAATCCGAATGCCAATCCTCAAATCAGCAATCCCTCTGCCATCATTGTATCTGTCCAGGACAAAGAGCGAGGAAAAAAGGCCTCATCCTGACGGGAACCCAGTCCTGATGATGTTCCTCTAATAAGGAGGATTCGAACTTCCGGGCCGAGCGTGCCCACTTCTGCCCAAAACAGACCAACTGCTCCCTCTAGGTCTGGCACATCCACTGCCTCTCCCTCTGGAGTGGTTCCATGGACCCCTCAATTCATCCGAGCGGACGAGTCGGTTGTTAAATCAAACGAGACCATGTTCAAAGAAGGCCCAACTGCTATGGCCTATTACAATAACCTATGGTCCCCCAAAGATATTAAGGTTGCCAAAGCTCTAACACGGAAAGAGGTGTTCAGTCGCTTTCCTCTGGCTGCCATGGAGGTAATTCCCTACTCCTCTCTTAATTACTTTAAAAATGTCTTCATATTCTAACTTCTCTGGATATACGTTCGGCTTAATTAGTATTCATGCATTGGTTTGCAGACCCTGTTTGGCATGATGACGATGCAGAAACATGTCGAGGCATCCAATGCCAAGGCTCGCAAGGCCGTTAGTATGCTTGATGCGATGAACAAAGAAAACAAAATTATTAGCACCAAAAACACTGAACTGATGGTGCTGCTGAAAAAAGTTGAGAATGAAAGGGACGCTCTGAAGAAAGAAACGGACTCCCTTCAGGACGAGAGGAACGCCCTTCAGATTGAGAAGAGCGTCTGGCAGACCGAGCGGGAATCATTTAAGGCCGAAAGAGAAAATCTCCAATGCTTGCTTAATGACGAACAGATAGAACGACTGGCATTTGAGAAGAGGGCTCTAGATGAGCGCAATGCCTTGCTCGGTATCATTAGCAAGGTTAATGGTGGAATGATGGCTCTGC